GTCATAGTGTTCATTGATGATGTCCTGGTATACTCACGTAGCCAGGAGGAGCATGCCCAACATTTGAGGATTGTGCTATATCGGCTGAGGGAAGAGAAGTTTTATGCCAAGATCTCCAAGTATGAGTTTTGGCATAGTTCAGTGGCGTTCTTGGGGAACGTGGTGTCCAGTGAGGAGATTAAGGTGGATCCGAAGAAGATAGAAGTGGTTCAGAGTTGGCCCAGATCGTCCTCAACTACGGAGATTCGGAGCTTCCTCGGCTTGACTTGTTATTATAGTCTTTTCGTGGAGGGTTTCTCGTCTATTGCATCGCCTTTGACCAAATTGACCCAGAATGGTGCTCTTTTCAGGTAGTCGGATGAGTGTGAGGAGAGCTTTCAGAAGCTCAAGACTGCCTTGACCGCAGCTCCAGTTCTAGTTCTACCTTTAGCTTCTGGTTCTTATACAGTGTATTGTGATGCTTCTCGGATTGGTATAGGGTATGTATTGATGCAGAGAGGTAGAGTGATTGCTTATGCTTCACGTCAGTTGAAGCCCCATGAGAAGAACTACCATGTTCATGATTTGGAGTTGGCTGCCATCGTTCATGCATTGAAGATTTGGAGGTACTATCTCTATGGTGTGTTTTGTGAGATATTTACTGATCATCGGAGTCTCCAACACTTTTTCAAACAAAAGGATCTAAATTTAAGGCAGCGGATATGGTTGGAGCTGCTAAAGGACTATGATATTACTATTCTGTATCACTCCAGGAAGGCCAATGTGGTGGTCGATGCCTTGAGTAGAAAGGTAGTGAGTATGGGTAGCCTTGCATTCAAACCTGTTGGTGAGAGACCGCTTGCAATTGATATTCAGGCCTTGGCCAACCAATTTGTGAGATTAGATATTTCGGAGCCCAGTCGGGTTCTAGCTTGTGTGGTTTCTCGGTCTTCCTTATATGATCACATCATAGAGCGCCAATATGACGATCCTTATTTGCTTGTCCTTAAAGATGCGGTTCAGCACGATAATGCCAGAGATGTTACTATTGGGGATAATAGGGTGTTGAGGATGCAAGGTCGGATTTATGTGCCTAATGTAGAAGGGCTATGTGAGTTGATTCTTGAAGAGGCCCACGGTTTACGGTATTCCATTCATCCGGGTGCCACGAAGATGTACCAAGATTTGCGGCAATATTATTGGTGGAGGAGAATGAAGAAGGACATAGTGGGGTTTGTAGCTCGGTGCCTAAATTGTCAGCAGGTGAAGTATGAGCATTAGAGACCGGGTGGATTACTTCAGAGGATTGAGATTTCGGAGTGAAAATGGGAGCGTATCACCATAGATTTTGTAGTGGGACTCCCACGAACTTCGATGCTATTTGGGTAATTGTGGATAGGTTGACCAAGTCAGCGCACTTCATTCCAGTTGGGACTATGTATTCTTCAGAGCGGTTTACTGAGATTTACATCCGCGAGATTGTTTGACTTTAGGGTGTGCCAGTGTCCATCATTTCAGATCGGGGCACACAATTTACATCGCAGTTTTAAAGAGCCATGCAGTGAGAGTTGGGCACCGAGGTTGAGTTGAGTACAACATTTTACCCTCAGACGGACGGACAGTCCGAGCGTACTATTCAAATATTGGAGGATATGTTACGCACTTATGTCATAGATTTCGAGGGTTCTTGAGATCAGTTTCTGCCGCTCGTGGAGTTTGCCTACAATAACAGCTACCAGTCGACCATTCAGATGGCTCCGTATAAGGCTTTGTATGGGAGACGGTGTCGATCTCCAGTGGGTTGGTTTGAGCTAGGGGAGGCTAGGCTACTGGGTACTGACTTGGTTCAGAATGCTTTAGAGAAGGTTAAATTAATTCAGGATCGCCTTCGCACGTCACAGTCTAGACATGAGGAAGGTTCGGGATGTTGCTTACATGGTTGGGGAGAAGGTACTGCTCAAGGTTTCACCCGTGAAGGGTGTAATGAGGTTTGGAAAGAAGGGCAAGTTGAGCCCTCGGCATATTGGGCCATTTAAGGTGCTTCAGAGAATTGGAGAGGTGGCTTACAAGTTTGCTTTGCCACCTAGTCTGTCGAGTGTGCATCCAATATTTCATGTTTCTATGCTCCGAAAGTATGTCGACAATCCGTCTCATGTTTTAGATTTCAGCACGGTTCAATTGGATGGTAATTTGACTTATGATGTGGAGTCGGTGGCCATTTTGGGTCGGCAAGTTTGAAAGTTGAGGTCTAAGGATATAGATTCAATGAAAGTGCAATGAAGAGGTCAGCCAGTTGAGGAGGCTACTTGGGAGACCGAGCGGGATATACGGAGCAGATATCCATACCTATTTGAGACTCCAGGTACGTTTCTAGACCCGTTCGAACTTTTGTTTAAGAAAGGAAAGATGTAAGGACCCGATCTGTCATTTTGAGAGTTGTAGCCCCGTTCCCCCATTTACTGCTCATTTTGTGCTTTATAGCTTCTATGTGACTTGTCGTGGTAGTTGGTTCGGGTTCGGAGAGGGTTACAGAATGAATTAAGACACTTAGTCTCAAGGTTGGAAGCTTAAATTGAAAAGGTTGACCGGATATTAACTTATGTGTAAACGACTCCGAAATGGAGTTTTGATAGTTCTGTTAGCTCCGTTGGGTGATTTTGGACTTAGGAGCGTGTTTGAATTGTGACTTGGAAGTCCGTAGTTAAATTAGGCTTGAAATGATGAAAGTTGAAAATTTATAAGTTTGACCGAGAGTAGACTTTGTGGTTACCGGGCTCGGATTAGAGTTCTGAAGTTGAAGTAGGTCTGTGGTGTCATTTTTGACTTGTGTGCAAAATTTGGGGTCAATCGGACGTGATTTAATAGGTTTCGGCATCGAATGTAGAAGTTAGAAGTTTAAAAGTTCATTAGGCTTGAATCGATGTGCGATTCGTGATTTTAACGTTGTTTGATGTGATTTGCAGGCTCGACTAAGTTTGTATCGTATTTTAGGACTTTCTGGTATGTTTGGTTAAGGTCCCGGGGGCCTCGGGGATGATTCGGATCGAAATCAGATTGGATTTTGGAGTTTTTGGAGGAGCTGGTGTTGAGTCTGGTGCAACCGCACCTGCGAAGGATAGGCCGCAAGTGCGGAGACGCAGAAGCGGTCATGGGGTCGCAAATGCGGTTCTATGTGAGTGGAGGTAGTTGCGCAGGTGTGAGGAAAAATACCGCACCTGCGATCACACAGATGCGGGCGCCTTGTCGCAAAAGCGGAAAAAGACTTGGGGAGGTTGGTTCGCAGAAGCGCACCCGCAGGAGCGGGATTTGGGACCGCAGAAGTGGGATTTGGGACCGTAGAAGCGGGATGTTTGGACCTTAAGTGACCTCCACAGATGCGGATTTGTAATCGCAAAAGCGGTGCCACAGATGCAGCTAAATGGACTGCAAAAGCGGAACCACTGGCAGTGCATATTAAAACGAGAGTTCCGTGATTTTCATCATTTTGAACATTTCAAGCTCGGGATGAGGCGAGTTTTGAGAGGATTTTCGAGAGGTTTCTTGAGGTAAGTCACTTGTGGTTAAATTTACTCAATAATTATGTTTCTTCATTGATTTTCCCACCTAGATTGTGTGGTTTTGAGGTGTAATTTTGTAGTTTGAGGCTAGGGATTTGGAGAGTTTAAATTGGGGATTTGGGGGGTCAATTTGGTGTTGGATTTTGGTAAATTTGATATGGTTGGACTCGTGGTTGAATGAGCTTCCGAATTTTGTGACTTTTGTCGGATTTCGAGACGTGGGCCTGGGGGTCGGCTTTAGAGTGACTTTTTGACTTTTGATTAAGAACTTATATAATTAATTTGATTTAATGAAAATACTAAATGAGAGGTAAGTTTTTGCCATAATGCTAGTGCCTCTTTATGAAGTATATTCTTACAAGGAGATTAGTTCGAATTTTTTTTAGAACAGTCCATTTGAGGAGGTTAACTTTTTTGTTCCCTCTCCTGCATGTTTTCGTTTTTTAGACGTTAGTGTTTATCTATTGGTACGGGTTAGTACAATCCCCGGCCTGATTTTTTTTTTTTTTATTTTTTTTATTTTTTGAAATATGTCCATTTGCGAAGCTCATACAAAAACCAGAATAGTACTGATGAAATTGTACACATCAAAGTGTTTCTCTCAAATGTATATATCCATCCTTTTTAATAGTATAAAAGTATTCACATTCTTTATTATAGAAATGAAACGTAAAATCATGAATATTATAGACCAAAAAGAAGATAGAAATGATCACTGTATCAACTGCGATTTGAAAATGATACCAGTATCAATAACACTTAATTGAAATCATTAGGTTAATGCCCATAAAAGTAATTTAAATTTAAAACTATATAATTATCTTGATAAATAAGGCATGTTTTTAATGGAGATCGGAAATTAGTGAAACTTTAACTTCACCGGAGTGTGTTGTTCTAGTGGTGAGCACCCTCCACTTCCAACTAAGAGGTTGTGAGTTCGAGTCACCCCAAGAGCAAGGTGGGGAGTCCTTGGAGGGAGGGAATCGAGAGTCTATCTGAAACAGTTTCTCTGCCGCGAGTTTTTTGTTGAACAACGAGTTCTATGGTTGATCATGTGGTTAAAAAAGGCAAGTAAATTATTATAACCATTGCTTAACAAACTAAATAACAGAGGAAAAAAGAGTATTCATTTTACCATAGTTAAGTACTCCATAAACTGAGGTGAAAAAAGCATGAATTAACCATGGCTGAATGATAAAAGTGTATGTAAAAGCAACGTGTCGTGTTATCATTGGTTCAGTATAAACAGTAACTTTTGCAATAGCAGAGAGGGAAGCTTCATTGCATGTTCCTTTTACCCCTTAAAAGAAATAGGACAGTATTACATTACAGCACTAAAACTGGAATTTGTGACTGCATATAATCTCTTTCCATTCATTACAAAGTTTCTTTAGGGACTTGGAGACGTTTCTTGAGTTCCCAAAAAATTTCAGAGGCAACCTTCACTCACACTGTAAAGCCACTTTTCCTTGACTGGAACATGTTTTCGTTTTCATCTTCCTTTTCTTTGGTGCTATTTTGTACGATTTCTTTCTTAGCTTTATGATTTTGGTGTGTGTGTGTGCGCGTAGAGAGAGAGAGAGAGTTCAAAGAGAGAAACGTGAAATGCAAATTTTTCTTAAAACCCTGCAAAGAGCTGTGGTTTTTCACATTGTCTCTTCGAACTTTTGATTCTCTTCTACATGTTTATTTGTATTTCGGAAAACCAAAAAGGTAGTGCAAAAATCAAAGTTGGAAGAGACAATGCTTTACAAATTGCAGAGTCTGAAATTATTTGGTTACGAGGGTAAATATCTTTAGAAAGGGGGCTTAGTTTACATCTTATTCTCTGTCCATGTTTGGTTGCACCAGCATTTTAATGTATCGAGTGGCTGAATGTTGAAACTATTATAACCAAAAAAAAAAAAAGGAATGTTGAAACTAATATCAGTAACTTGCTCTCACTGAAATGATCCTTTATTTTCTTTATTTCCTATTCAGTAGTGGTGTATTCTTGTCCTGTTCAACTTTTGCTTCGTAATTCGTGTACTCTTCCATTTTGATAAATTAAGATGATAATTTATTTTTTGTTGTTGATAATTTAATGTTGTATGTGCATTTTGGCGTTTAATTTCCTGACTTTACTAGCAAATCGTGATTCGTCGCAATAGCAGACCTGAGTAGTATTTCTGCTATTCTTTAGTTTGATTTGTTGTCATATGAACCAGAAGGAAGATTTCTGGAGGTATTCTGATTTAGATAGAAAAGGGTTCGGAAAAACACTTTGGGATAAGTTAAAACTTGATCTGTACTGAAGATGAAAAAGGTATTTCGAGCTAGACATCTGCGGCAAGTTTGTTTGCTTGTTACCGGTATGACCAGCCTTTTGCTGATCATCTGATGATGCTTTGTATGTGGTGGCTTAAACTTGTTGAGACTGTGTCTCTTTGTCTTGAATCTCTTGATTGGTATTTTGCTGCCAGTTTTTCTACTGTAAAGTTTGAGTATCAAAACGGTTTTTCCTTCATAAACTTGAAATTTTGTGATGCCTTGTTGAGAATGTTGTAGTACTCTCCTTGGCTATTTTTGTTATAACTACTGTTTTGATCTAATGTTAAGAACCTTTTGATGAACTTTTTTGTCTGTGTATGGTGTTGTGGGTCTTGACAACCTCTACTTGCCATGTTAGGAAGATCAAAGAACTGCAATTCTGCAAACATGTGGTACCGCATCGCAAGGGCATCTGAATTCCTGGTGATTACCGGGATTGGTATTAATGAACTGAAGATCACAAAAAAGGCACTAGTATGGCCATTGCAGAAATGTCGGGTTATTGATGTCACTCCTGTGAACTATACTTTTGAAGTCAATGCTATGAGTGCTGAGAAGCTGCCCTTCCTTCTCCCTGCTGTTTTCACTATAGGTCCGTGTGTAAATGACCCTGAGGGACTTGTTAAATATGCTAAACTTCTTTCCCACCATCAACGTGATTCACATGACGTGAAGGACCTTGTTCAAGGTGTCATCGAGGGAGAGACTCGTGTTTTGGCTGCTTCCATGACCATGGAGGAAATCTTTAAAGGCACAAAAGATTTTAAGAAGGAGGTGTTTGACAAAGTTCAGCTTGAGCTCAACCAGTTTGGCTTGCTGATTTATAATGCTAACATTAAGCAACTGGTTGATGTTGAAGGCCACGAATACTTCTCTTACTTGGGGCAGAAAACCCAAATGGAAGCTGCAAACCAAGCAAAAATTGATGTTGCTGAGGCCAAAATGAAGGGTGAGATAGGAGCTAAGGAGCGAGAAGGTCTCACACGTCAAAATGCTGCCAAGATTGATGCTGAGACAAAGGTCATATCCACGCAAAGGGATGGTATCGGAAAGAAAGAGGAGGTTAAAGTCAAGACTGATGTTAAGATCTATGAAAGTCAGAGAGAAGCTGAGGTGGCTGAGGCAAATTCTGTCCTGGCAACCAAGAAGGCTCGGTGGTCTCAGCAGGCAAAAATGGCTGAGATCGAAGCCCAGAAAGCTGTGGCACTTCGGGAAGCTGAATTACAGCAAGAAGTTGAGAGGAAGAATGCATTGACTAAGACAGAGAGCCTCAAAGCACAACACCTCAGTAAGGCTACTGTTGACTATGAGATTAAGGCAAGTTGCTCTTTCCTAATAAATTTCTGCGAGTTCATTTTCTGCCTCTTTTTAGAGCCTGTGAAACAAACTTCTGGAGTTGACTTTTTCTTTGCTGGTCTATCAAGAGTAGGTTAGATTGCTTGTGATCATCAATATTTCCTGTGATTTTATCAAGGTAGAATTCCGGAAATCAGTATAATGTGATGACGTCAAGTTTAACTTATATGTGACTTTGCTAGTATCTCCAATTACATTCTTTCATTGGGGACTTTATCCAATAGGTATATTTTGTCTGGAGTATAAAGAAGTGGCTCTTTTCCTTGTCTATTTTCAGTTGTAAATCTAAGACTTTATGCAGTCATATGAATTCATCCTTTATATTCATCATGCTAGTGCTCATCCAAAGTTTGCCATGTAAACACTTATTCAGGTACAAGAGGCCAACTCGGTGCTGTACAAGAAGCAGAAGGAAGCAGAAGCAGAGCTTTATGAAAATAGAGAAGCTGCAGAGGCTAAGAAACTAGCAGCAGATGCTCAGACGTATGCCGTTCAATTAGCTGCTGATGCTGCACTCTACGCCAAGAAGAAAGAGGCTGAAGGACTGGTCGCTACTGCAGAAGCACAGGGAGTCTATGTCCGCAATCTGCTGTCAGCTTTGGGAGGAAACTACAACGCGTTGCGAGACTACCTGATGATTGAGGGAGGAATGTTTATAGACATTGCCAAAATCAATGCTGAAGGGATCAAGGGACTTCAACCAAAGATCAGCATTTGGAGCAATGGTGCCAGTAGTGGGCAGATGGTAGATGGAACTAGTAGTGGACAAGCTGGATTGAAAGAGTTGGCTTCTGTTTACAAGGCATTGCCTCCTTTACTTGAGACTGTGCATGAGCAAACTGGAATGTTGCCACCAGCATGGATGGGAAGCCTCTCTGTTTCTGCTGCTGATCCAGCCACATCCAACCAATCTGCATAGGAAATCTTATGACTTCACATCCAACCAATCTGCATAGGAATTCTTTTGACTTTTAGAACCATCTAGTAGGGACTCCAACTACCAATAAGCTGACATGAGTAAAATTTGCACTGAACTATTTCAGAAATAGTTTTAGTAGTATATTAGGCTTTTGATCTCTGCACAAGTGATGCTTGCAATGCTTTATTACAGACAGATTTAATATCTTGTTGATATTATAGAAGACTGATTGTTGAAATTCATGGGTGTGACGGAGATGAGTCAGGCTCCTACTTCTTCATTGTTAGGTATGCTCACAGGCATGCAATGATCATAGCATGTGAAATTCCTCTAACAGGCACCTTAACGGAAGGAATATCTCTTATAATTTTAATGAAGCTATCATTATTGTAGGTGTAGTTGTTTGATTATCATTTGACTCTTTTACTAAACTAGTTTTTTAAACAACAAACGGGCATTTATTTAGACTAAATTACAAGATGAAAAAATCTTACATTTACGATTTTTGATATTTAAAAGTATTTTACGCAAAATGAGCTCGTATCCACTTAAACTTGAACCGGTTTGCCATATGAATTTAGGAGTGTCCCATTTTAACACCTTAACTCAATAAAATGAATACTAATAAACTGTCACGATCCAAATTTACCTCCGTAGGATGTCGTGACGGCACCTAGTCTCTAAAACTAGGTAAGCCTAACAATTTGCGGAATAACTGAATATAAACTGAACTCATGCCTCAACATATGAATTATATATATATAATGCGATTCAAATAATTATAACTCCCCAAACCCGGTAGAAATAAGTCTCAAGCTCTAAAGAGAAAATGTTAAGTGTCTTTATACATCAGAGTCTAGTAAAATAGAGAAAAGCAATATCATGGAGATAGAGGGGGACTCCGAGATCTGCGGACGCTGGCATATATACCTTGAAGTCTCCACGTACGGTCTAGCTCACTGGTATCTGGCATGGTAGGAAGAACCTGGATCTGCACAAAAAATGTACAGAAGTGTAGTATGACTACACCACAACGGTACCCAGTAAGTGTCAAGCCTAACCTCGGTAGAGTAGTGACGAGGTCAGGTTAGGGTCCTACTGGAATAGAAAGGAAACAAGGCAGAAGATATAATAATATAATGAAATGACTGAGAATTTAACAATGAGAAATTTCAGAAATATAACAACACGGTAAATAGAGGAAAATAGCAGGGGTACTCCCGAGGTACCGCCTCGTAGTCCCAAATGTAAATATATAACACGGGGAGCTCCCGAGGTACCGCCTCGTAGTCCCAAATGTAAATATATAACACGGGGAGCTCCCGAGGTACCGCCTCGTAGTCCCAAATGTAAATACACAATACGGGGACCTCCCGAGGTACCGCATCGTAGTCCCAAAAGTAAATATGCAACAGGGGGAGCTCCCGAGGTACCGCCTCGTAGTCCCAAAAGTAAATACACAACTCATAACCTTTGGAATAACGAATTTACAACAAGGAATCCTACAATTAAAGACTGAATGCAAAATCAAAGAAACTGGTAATTAAACTAAGCATGTTGCACAAATTGCAAGTGAAAGTCAAGACACGTAGGCATGCGACACTAGGCTAAACATGATGACTACACAGGCTAGAGTACTTAGTTAAGGAATTAAAAGAAAACTACTCAGTAAGTACCGGATTTTTCAACATATAACTCGAGTACGCACTCGTCACCTCGCGTACGCGGCCTTCACGTATTTCAAATACCATAACAGTACCCAAACCTAAGAAAGTTTCCCTCATACAAGGTTAGACCAGTCACTTACCTCAGACCAAGCTCAATCAGTTGATAAGAATGCATTTCCCTCGACTTTTCGACTCCGAAGTCCCAAATCTAGCCAAAAGCAATTACATACTATAAATACAACTATAAGAAACTAATTTACATAATGAAACTACACTTTAACCAAGAATTGAAAAATCGCCCCAAAAAGTCGACCCGGGCCCACATCTCAAAAATCGGATAAAATTCACAAAATATGAACACCCATTCGATATCGAGTTCACCCATACCAAAATTACTCAAATCCAACCTCAAATCGCTTTTAAATTCCCAAAATTTTAGGCTAAGAACTCCCACCATTTTCCCCCAAATTTCTCACCCCAAATCCTTAATTGAATGAAGGAATAATTGATAGGTTAGTGGATATTAATCAAATAATAAGTGTAGAATCCTTACCCAAATGTTTCCTCTGAAAATCTCTCAAAATTTCGCCTCAATCCGAGCTTTATCTCTAAAAATATGAAGAAAATGACAAACCCTCGATTTTTAAACCATTCTGCCCAGAACTTCCGCTTTTGCGGTTCAATTAGCCGCTTTTGCGGTTGACCAACCGCATCTGCAGAAGGTCACTGATGCTGGACAACCGTTTTTGCGATCCAAATCCCACTTCTGCGCAAACTCGTCCGCTTCTGCAGACCAGCATACCAAGCTCTCGTCCGTTTCTATGATCATCCTTCTGCAGAAGCGACTCTGCTTCTACGGCCCTCACATCGCGAGCACTGGCCACTTTCTTTAGCCTCGCATCTGCGCTCAGTCGCTCACTTCTGCGAGCTCGCACCTGCGGTCAAACTTGCGCAGGTGCGATTGCACCAGAACTGGTGCACTTCACCCATTCTCACAAGTCCAAATTTGTTTCGCATTTAATCTGAATCACACCCGGAGCCTCCGAGATCCCGTTCGAATATACAAACAAGTCATAAAACATCATATGAACTTAGTCTAGCCTTTAAATTACATCAAACAACGCTAAAAACATGAATTACACATCGATTCAAGCCTAATGAACTTTAAAACTTCAAACTTCTACATTCGATGCCAAAACCTATCAAATCAAGTCCGATTTACCTCAAATTTTGCACACAAGTCATAATTGATATTACGGACCTACTTCAACTTCCGGAATCAAAATCCGACCCCGATATCAAAAAGTCCACTCTCGGTCAAACTTTCCAAAAATTATCAAATTTCCAACTTTCACCAATTAACGTCGAAATGACCTACGGACCTCCAAATCAACATTCGGACACACCCCAAAGATAAAATCACCCTACGAAGTTTTTGGAATCATCAAAACTCCATTCTGGAGTCGTCTTCACATAATTCAACCTACGGTCATTTTCCACGACTTAAAGCTTCTGAAATTAGAATTTCCCATCCGAATCAACTTTGAACTTCTCGAAATTCGATTCCGACTACGCATATAAGTCATAAAATATGAAGTGAAGCTACCCAAGGCCTCAAACCGCCAAACAATGCGATAGGGCTTAAAACGACCGATCAGATCGTTACATAAACACCTCTGATCAATGATCAAGCTAATGTGGCAACGACATAGCTAATGTGGCAAAAGTCCGTGCCTAACACCGTAAATAAGCATGTGTATGTGATGGTTTTGACTTAAAAATAATAAATAAAGAAAAAATAATAATAAGTTATTAATGAAAAAGGAAAAAGTTAAAAAGAAAAAACCATCCCCAATTCTCCTCCACTCCACTTTTTCTTCTTCCTAACACCCCCTCCCCCGACACCCCACCCCACCCCTTTTCTATCACAGTATTCCCAACCCAAATTCGTCACCCCCCTCTGATGCGTACAGAGGAATGGTACCTTTTACTGCGGAAGTGTACTTAGCCATTAGAATTAGTTATAAAGAGGGAGAAGTCTAGTTTTGTCATTAACACTTAAGTCCTAATGTTTTTATTTTATAAGTTTTTAGCATTACAATTAAGTCCTTGGACATTTAGCTGTCGAGCAGATTCCATCCTCTGCAAATACAGTTATTGGCAGGACAGCTGGGCAAAGGAACCTGTACTATTCCTTGTACTATTCCTTGCTCAACACTCTTATCCTTTTACACATATATCTATTGTAATAGTTGATAGGGTTTATTAGGAATGAAAACCTTCTAGTTTAATTTAGCTTAGTTTAGCTAGTTTCCTTCTTCTCTTCCAAATATTGCACTGTTCCATTGCAGTTGCATCATTTAGTATCACAACATTGCTCTTGGACTGTGAGTAATGGCTACCGATATAAAAAACTTGGTTGATGTTGTTGAAAGGATGTCAATGGAAATAACAAACATCACGATGCGACAAAACTAGATGGAAGAGAATCGAGATAAGGCCCTTAACGAGCTGAGAGAAGCAGTACAAACTTTACAAAGGCAGCATGATAAGGGCAAGAGCTTATCTGAGCAAGATCTCGGTGTTGAGATTTATTCACCAACAGTTGGACCCTTTGGAGGAAATGGAGCGCAGGGGATTGGAAGTTCTTCTAATCCACCTTCTACTCAACTATTGAACCATCCTGGGGTTACTGGACCTGGAATGGTACAATCTCCATCAGTAGGTGTTGGGGCCAATCTTGGAGGCACACCAGCTCAACAAAATCAGCCTATGCCAGCACTAGGAGGATATAATGGAGCTGTTGTCATAGGAGGTTCTCATGGTGTTACTCATGAAAGCACTCTATCCAGATTAGGAAAATTAGAATTTCCTAATTTTGATGGTAAGGATCTCAGATCTTGGCTTTATAAGATCGAGCAATTTTTCTCCCTAAGAGAAATCCCTCTTGTTTAGAAAATTAAGGTTGTTTCCATTCATTTAGAGGGAGTTGCTATAGAATGACACCAAGCTTATATGAAAAGTAGAATGCACTTACCTTATCCTAGCTGGGATGAGTATTTGTATGCCTTAATCGATAGATTTGGTGCTGAGTATGATGATCCTATGGCTGAGCTCAAGCTGCTATTTCAAACTGGAGCTGTGAAAGACTACCAAGACCAGTTTGATAGGTCCATGAATAGATTATCCTTGCCAATGGAGTATGCCATCAGCTGCTTCATAGCTGGTCTTAGACCTGAATATAGAGACAATGTCAAAGCCCACAGACCAAACTCCTTACCTCAAGCTTACTATCAAGCCAGGTTACAATAGTCATCTTACCAAGCTCAACACAGAACCATTTTCTTCCCCCCCACCCCTTTTGTAGCCTCAAAAAACACCTCCATTGTCCCATACTCAGGTTCCAAAGAACCTTATAAACCCCCAGACCCCAACTCCTAGTGGAACAAGGGTAGAGGAAAAAAGTTGATACCAGCTGAGCTTAATGAGAAAAGACTAAAAGATCTTTGTTACTTTTGTGATGAAAGTTCTTTCCGGGACATAAATGTAAGACCAACAAACAACTATTTTTGTTGGAACTAGAAGAAGGAACGGAACTTGAAAATGATAATCAACAGCTGTATGTAATGAAGGTTGAAGAGGTTCAAGA